CGCACTTGTCACTTTCATTCACTTTGTACCCATTAATTATCATTAAGTTATCAAACTTTTCATGCCATTGTTTAGGGGCTTGTTTTAGTCTATACAGAGACTTATCTAACTTACAGACCTTGCTTTCTTGTCCTTGGATTACAAACCCTTCTGGTTGTTCCATATAGATTTCTTCTTCTAAGTCACCGTTTAAAAACGCTGTTTTAACATCCATTTGGTGTACTATTAAGTTATAAATGGCTGCTATTGAAATGAGTACCCTAATGGATGTAATTCTGGTGACCGGAGAAAAGGTGTCGAAGAAATCTATGTTTTCTCTTTGTCTAAAACCCTTGGCTACAAGGCGAGCCTTGTATTTCTCAATCGTTCCATCAGGTTTTAGTTTCTTTTTCAAAACCCATTTACAACCAATTGGTTTGCAACCCGGGGGTAAGTCTACTAAGTGCCAGGTCTTGTTAGATTCTAGAGAATCTATCTCATCATTAATGGCTTCTTGCCATAAGTCTGCATCCATAGATGACAGTGCTTCTTGAAGATTTATTGAATCTTCTTCTACATTATAGGCCGAATAATCGGGCCCATAGTCTTTAGCAACTCTTGCTCTTTTACTTCTTCGAAGTTCTGTTTCTACATTGTCGCTGCTTTCAGTGCTTTTTATCACAGGAATGTGACTCGATTGTGTGCCCCCACTATTTCTCGATTTGAAAGGAAATTTGTCTTCAAAGAATTCAACATCGTTTGATTCTATAATTACTCTGGCATTTAGGTCATAAAACCTGTATGCCTTACTGTTTGCTGCATACCCAATGAATACGCATTCATAGGCTCTACTAGCGAGTTTAACTCGTTTCGGATCCGAAATTCTGACATAAGCCAGACAACCCCAAGTTCTTAAATAAGACAAATTTGGTTGTCTTTTCTTTAATATCTCATAAGGTGAGATCTTACTTTTTGACTTGGGAACTTTATTCAGGACATAGCAAACAGTCAATAAAATTTCCCCCCACCAGTGAGGTGCAGCACCAGAATTTAACATGATTGCAACTACAAGTTCAGTGAGAGTCCTATTCTTTCTTTCTGCTTTACCATTCATTTCAGGAGAGTATGGAGCAGTCGTTTCATGTATAATACCATGTTCAGCATAAAAATCATTAAACAAGCTAGAGTCATATTCGGTTCCCCTATCACTGCGAAGTCTCTTAATCTTCTTGTTAAATTGATTCTCAATTTCAGTTACATACACCTTAAACATGTCAAGCGCTTCACTTTTATTCTTCATTAGATATACATAAGTATAATCAGAGCAATCGTCAGTAAAAGTGATAAAATAACGTTTATTATTTCTAGTTAAACTTCCATCTAATTCACATATATCAGAGTGTATAAGATCTAGGGGATCAGATTCTTTTATTATTGATTTATGTGAAGTCTTTGTTATTTTAGCTTGACTGCAAAATTCACATTTATTGGAATCATTAATATTTAGTTTAGGGATTAGGCCTATGTTGCTTGCATTAGAAATGATTCGTTTATTAACGTGACAAAGTCTACCATGCCAAATATTAAAATCACACAAAAAGTAAACAGAAGGAGAAGTTTTATTCAAATCAACATTCAACTTAAACATGCCATCAGTGGTGTACCCTTTTCCCACAAAAATACCATTCTTAGTGATGGTGTACAAATCTCCCCCTAAAGTTTGACTGAAACCAACCTTATTCAGAAGAAAACCAGAAACAAGATTCTTCCTACTTTCAGGAACATGCATGACGTCCTTCAAGATTAAAGTCTTTCCTGAAGTGAACTTCAGTTCAACATCTCCAATTCCAGCAACATTAGTGGTGTGAGCATCTCCCAACAACACTTTCTTATCTTCAGTATTCATGTATGTCTTGAACATAACACGATCATAGCAGACATGACGAGTGGCGCCAGTGTCTATCCACCAACCGTCACTTCCACCAACCATGTTGATTTCAGTGATCATGGCAATTAGTTGCTCATCAGTCAGGTTAACCTGTGTATTTGAGCCAGCTGCAGGTTTAGGCCTGCTCCTACATTTCTTTGCCATATGACCCGGTTTCCCACAATTGTAGCAAGAGAAAACCGGAGCATCATTTCTTTGAGGTGGTGGCTGTTGCCTAGCAAACGGAGCCGATGGGGCCCTAGAGGGATTCCCATTCTTAGTTCGGTTCATAGCACAGCGGTTCTGATTCTTTAAAGGTTTGCCCGTAGGCTTCAGAACCGCACCAAACTTCTTTTTTTGTTGTCGTAAACAACTAAGACTTCTTCTTTCTGATCTTGTTTCCGAGCCTCCTCTTCAATTCGGAGGCGAGTAATCAGATTCTCGATTGAAAATTCTTTTGTTTTGTGACGAAGTATATTTTTGAAATCTTTCCAACCAGGGGGCAGTTTGTCAATAATTACAGCAATTTGAAATTGTTCATTAAGGGGCATACCTTATGTAATAATCTCATGAGCAATCTTCTGAATTTCGTGGCTTTGAGTTTCCACCGACTTCTCATCCACCATCTTGTAGTTCAAGTAGCGGCTGACAGCAAATTTCTTCGCACCTGCTTCTTCAGTATCATATTTCCTTTTCAGAGCCTCCCATACCTGTTTAGAAGTTCTGTAGCTACTGTAGTAGTCGTACAGATCATCAGTAAGGCTGTTCAGAATGTGATTTTTGCACAGATAATCATTCTCGTGCCATAAGGCGATTTCTTTTCGGAGCTGTAGATCATTTGCTGCAGACTTAGCTTTTGCAGCATCTGATTCAGCCTTAGCTTTTGCAGCATTTGATTCAGGCGTTTTGGAAGTCCCGTCTGAATCTGCAAGTGTGTTACCATTAGGTAATTCAGATGATGCATAAGGGACAACCGAGATATCCTCACTCAGAACGTGGGCAACCTTTTTCAGAGTTAAGAAAAATTTCATCTTAGCTTGCCAACGTTTGAAATTGGAACCCTCAAACCTGAAAGGTTTGTCAGAGACCGAAGCGGCCGCAGTAGTACCGATAATTTCCTCAGTAGCCATGGCAGTTATGAAAACGTCTTAAAATTGTTGTTTTCGGATTTGAAAAAATAGAGTTTGGCACAAGGAAATTATCGAGTCGCGTACTAGGTCGCTTTCTTTAAGACGTTTCGCCGTACTGCCAAATTATGCAAAGCAGTCGAATTTACGACGACGCCTCCAGGATAAAACAACCCGTTCAAACAACTTACGATTATCAGTTGCACACTGATAAATCGCTTTAGAAATACACCTTTCAAAGTATCTGGTTAAAATAACCAGTCAAGAAAAGAGAAAAATTATAGATGAAGAGAATTAAGGAAGAGAAGAGGGAAATCAAAATTCATGAATTTGTGAAATCCAAAGTGCTTACTACTGAATTTCTACCCTTTATTTATAGGCAGCTAGTAAGGCTTAATTTTCATTCCCGTCAATGTGGGACTAAAATGAATCTTAATTTCCATTTCCCTTCAATGTTGGACTAAAATGAATCTTAATTTTCATTCCTTCAATGTGAGACTAAAATGAATCTTAATTTCCATTCCCTTCAATGTTGGACTAAAAATGAATCTTAATTTTCATTCCTTCAATGTGGGACTAAAATGAATCTTTTTAAATTCACTTATATATTACTTCTTACTTGTGTTGATTTATTGCCCATTAATTGTCAATAAATCTTTCCAATTCCCACTCTAATTAATATAGTTCCAACAGGTAATTGCTAAACTCTGCAACCCTCTTCTGGATATTGATGTTATCGTTTCTTTCAGCTACTCTATTGCCATTGTTTTTCTTTCTTCCCTCAGCTTGTTTGTTTCTTTTATGGTTAATATTATCCTCTGCCTCATTATTTTCAAGTTTATTTTGCTGGCTACCCCCCATATTTGTTTAGCCAACCAGGCTTCATTAAACTCCTGTAGCTTTCTAAAGCCTAACCCACCCTCTTTCTGTGATATACAAATGGCTTCAATTCATCCCGTGAATTTTCTTAACCCCCACCAGAAATTACTAGTAAACCTTTCCAGCTTATTGCAAATACTCTTAGGAAGAAGAGTGCTCATGACATAGGTAGGTATGGCCTACGCCACAACCTTGATCAGCATGGCCCTGCCAGCGTAAGATACACAATTACCTTTCCACGTGGCCAACTTATTCCTGACTCTTTCCACCACAGAAATAAGGCTTTTGGTTTTTGATTTCCCTATGACAGTAGGAAGCCCCAAGTAGTTCTCAATTTGATTAACTCTAGGTATGCCTAGTTGGTCATTGAAATGCTTTTTTTAGGGCTGGAAGTGTTTCTACTGAACATCATTTGCGACTTCTAAATGTTTATCTTCTGGCTTAAGCTATCTTGATACTTTGCGATGATCTCCCTAAGAGTACTCCTGGCTTCCTGGTCCTCAACTTGGCAGAATATAAAGCTGTCGCTGCAAAAAAAGATGACTTATGTCAGGAGCCCCTATGGCTATGGAGATGCCTTTGAACTTATTAAGCCCTTGGGCCTGCTTGACGAGATTAGACAAAACATCTGAACAAATGATAAAGATATAAGGGGATAGGGGGTCTCCTTGTCTTATTCCTCTGGTAGGTTTGAAGAAGTCAATAGAGTGTCCATTTATGAGATGGAGAGTGATACAATGTTCAGATAAATCATAACAAGACTAATCATGTTTTTAGGGAGGCCAATGTTGAGAAGGGTTTTTTTGGATAATTCAAATCTAATATGTCATAAGCCTTTTCCATGTCAAGTTTGATTCCCACCAACCTTTTTTTTGATTTATTGATGTGAGAGAATATTTCATAGACCATCATAGTGTTGTTCGAGATTTGCCTTCCTTTAACAAAAGCATTATGATTATCCATGATGATATCAGACAGGATTGTTAGAATTTTGTTAGCAATGGTTTTAGTGATAATTTTCATAATCAGGTTGCAAAGGGCAATGGGTCTGTAATCTGCAAGTTTTGGTAGGATTGTTTTTATTTATTTTAAATGAGGCTTATGTAAGTGCTGTTAAATCTTTGGGGATCCTCCATGTCTTTGAGGATATTGAGAGTAGTACTAAGAATATCCTCTCCAATTATCTCCCAGTAATTTTGATAGAAACTGGCTGGAACCCCATCTGGGCCAGGTGCAGTGTTGCCCTTCATGTTCTTCATGGCATGAATCAATTCATCTCTATTATACGGTTTGTCCAATTCAGTGAACATATTCTCTGAGCAAGTTCTATGGCTAGTATTGAAGCAATCTTGATGGATACTTAGGTTGTCCACTTTGAATTTCTCTTTGTAAAATTGGAGGATAATTCACTGGATTTCATCCTCTTTACTTGTGGTGCCCCCCATGGGCTTTTCCGTACTTCTAATTCTGTTTCGGTTCCTCTTTTGTGTAGCCTTCTAATGGAAAATTTTGGTGTTCCTGCCCCTTCCAAAAGCCAGTGACTTTTGGCTATTTGAGCCCATAAGATCTCCTCCTGACGTTGGAGCGTATCAATTTCCTCTTGAATTTTGTTCATGTCCCGGCTGTTAATATTCTGACTGTTTTTGTCTTGAAGGCCTTTAAGCTTGTTGCTCAAGTAGTTTATCTTACTGTTAGGGTTGACACAATTGAATTTGTTGTGGAGTAGTTTGGTGTTAGATCAATTTTAAGGATTCTCCTTCTTTTATTGCTTAATGGCCATAGTGTTTTTTTCCCGTCAGTATGCAGCTCTTCCTTCATAGAAAGTTTCACCATTTTCTCCATCATAGTCTGTAGTATAGGGCTGTATTATATTGGCTCATCTTGAACTTAGCCATAGGATTGCTACTGAAGATCTGTTCTCCTTGTGGTATTTGCCTCTTCCTCCCCATGTGTGGCCTTCAACCAAGCTTCTTATGCATTAATCTAAACAACTTGTCCGTACTTAAAAATCAACGACTTAAAAAAATATCAATAATAAATTAAATTTATTTTTAAAAATTAAAAAAAAATTTAACTAACTCATGAGTTTTTTTAAAGGAATTTATCTTAACTATTAAATTGATAATAATAAAAGGGTAAGATTTGGTGTCAAAATTAATATTTTAACACTTGTGCCAAATAATATATATATATATATATATATATATATATATATATATATATATATATATATATATATATATATATATATATATATATATATATATATATATATATATATATATATATATATATATATATATATATATATATATATATATATATATATATATATATATATATATATATATATATATATATATATATTAATTAAACTCTTTTAAATCTTCTACTTTTTTTTTGGCATAATTCTAGGATGATTAGCCGGAGTAGATATTATATATATTTGGTTTGTTTTGCATACCCTAGTATTCTTTAAATTCAAGGAAATCGCCGTAGCACTTTCTCGCATAAATATAAATATAAGTAGGATACATATTGAATTATTGATCACATCCTTCTTGGTGAGTTACTATGGCTGAAGAAAGATCAATTGGTTACAGTTTTAGTGTTTATACAACCCATGGACTCCGTTTAAAATCTCAACAACATAGGCCTATTCCTGTGGCGTCAGATTTCTTCAATTTTCAAGTCACAGCATACCTTCGAGATTTCTCTTCACCTCCTATGACTGTGTCAGTCATGTTTAGAACCTCGATACGTATTAATTGCAATGAATTCTTCATGCACGACCGAAATTTCCTTTGGTTATACGTGCAGGAATTCTCCTCCCCGTATTTCAATTCTGAAAACCTTTCCCAGATGACACTGAGTCTTATACCTAAGGTCAAACGACTGTTCTTTCCCTTTGATATTCATGAACTTGCGGCACCAGTTTCCAATCATATTATCCAAGAGATTCCTTTGGTTTTGACTCTTATAGTGGAAGAAAGAAGAACAGTTGAAGAGATTATGATGATGGGAGAACGTGCAGCCATGGAAGAGTCTATGCAATGTGAAAAAACAATTCCTGCATCCAATGAAGCTATTTTGTCTCTTAAAGCATACTCACTTCCTCGGAATTGTTGCGTTTGTATGGAGAGATTTCATGATGAATTAGAAGGTGGTGATAGTGATGACGTGAAGATATCAACCATGGCATGCGGTCATACTTTTCACTATAATTGTATTGTAAAGTGGCTCCAAAGAAGTCATGTATGCCCCTTATGCCGTTATGCTATGCCCACTTGAATATCATGTAATTTTTTTTTTTTAATTAATATTTTTCCAAGTGTTTTATCATTTACAAGTCTTTACATTGAACACATGATTATTTATATTTATAATTCTATTAATATATAAAGGAAAAACCTAATTTTACTTTTTTTCCTATTTTGCGCATTATATATTGTAAATATTTCAAAAAAATAAGTCAAGATGGCAAGTGCAAGTTAGTTATTTTATTTTAAAATAAAAAGTAACTATTATATCACATTTTAATAATTGATAACTTTTTAAATTTGCAATTCTTTTTCTCTTTTAAAACTAAAATTAAGTTAAAAAAAATATTTTATTATTTCCCACGCGTGTGTACACTAAAGAACAAGAGTACAAAACAAGAATCTCATTGGCAGAGGTACTAAACAACTAAGAAAATAGAAACAAAACGAAACAACAACCATAAAATAAAATTCTAATGCTACACACCAAAAGGAGGCCTAAGATACTCATGCTTTTATTGGCCCATATTTTAGATAGGGTTCTTGGGGCAGGCCGAGAAAGCACATGAGTTCTCCACATGGCAAAATAATGTTTGTATCTTTCATGTTCTTTACTGACACCAATTTATCTGAGAACATTATATCATTCCGAGATTTTTATATCGACAAGACCACAACATGCCAAATCATAATACACCACTTTAAGCCTTGATAGACCACCAAGAGGGAAAAACATTTGAAAAAGAGTTAAGGAAACTCCAGGTAAAACTATAAACCACCCAACCAACTGAAAATCCTATATCAGAAAATATTACTACATCCTAAGTCACAAACAGATGAGAGAACGATTCTAATAAAAGGGCAAGAGACACTCTCCGATCCAATGGAGATCTCTTTTTTGAGTAAATTCTCTTTGGTGGGAATCATATCTTACAGAAGTTGCTAAAAGAAAATAATTAATTATAAGGGACCTAACTACTCCAAATACTATAAAAAAACTGACTCCCTTAATAAGATATGACGATCTCTAAAAATCTCACGAGAGAGAAGAAAACAATACGCAGAAGCCACAAAATAGAACCATCTTTAGAGTGACTCTACCACCTTTTATCGGGCTAGTAGAAAGGGATTAAGTCCATGATTACTAAAATAAGATTGGATATCAATACATGTTCATGCTAAAAAACACAAGCTTTTCTCCACTTGAAATCCCAAACCCAACTCTGCCCCTCCCATTTACCAACCTCCCCTACTGAATAATCCTTATGTTTAGAGATAAAAAAATGTGAGGAAACCTATCTCTAAGAGAAATATCCCCAAACCAAAGGTCTTTCTAAAACTTAATAAGAAAACTATATCCAACTTTATTAACTATACTATCACGAAACTAATCTGAGGGGTCCTCCTCTTTAATACCAAGAAAAGACACTCATTTCCACAAAGGAGACACAAAGCAAAGGTAAGAAAATATATCTCCCAAGACAGATGAAGTGAGAATAACACAATATCTAGAAGAAAAACTATCTCTCTAGACTCCCAGGATTTCCTAAAAGTAACCACCTGTCATACCCCAAATTTTGCCCTACCCTTCATTCAACTTCATCTGTCTCCTAACTTTTGATTCATCTGCATACATCCATCCTAGCCATTCACTTTCATTCATTTACATGATATAACGCCATTGGTTCATTAGGTTCATGATTTCAACTGGATTGTGCCAGCATTTGGGATATTGAGAATTTGATTAGATGACTAGAACTAATGTTCTTATTGTTACTTATGGAACAATATGTTGTGAATTTGAAGTGAATGCTATTGAACTAGGGTTTTGTTGTGCTTACTTATGGATCAAGTTATTTTAGACTATTACTTGGAAAAGAAGCCATCGTGTTGCAATTGACTTTTTGGTCAAGGTTACCTTTTGAAGATTGACTTTTGAAGTATTTGTTTGGGCTTTCTTATTCAAGTTGTATTATAACACATTTTGAATACATTATGGAAAAGGAAAAGATTGAATACAAGAGTTGACTTTTGGTCCACAAAGTCAACCATGGAAGGCTGGATTTTTGTTGACCAAGTCATGTTTGATTAGTTCATTACTATTTTCCTTGGAATACACTATGGTTTGAATTGAATAATAATCCTTACATTCACTACATTAAAGAAAAAAGGAAATTCAAAATCACAAATTAGAGGGAAATCTCTTTTTGCATTACTACAATCTATGTATAATTCAAAATTCCAATTCAAGTACAATTACAAGGGAAAATTGAAGATTACATGAAAATTTCCATGTTTGACCAATAGTTGACTTTTGGTCAACTGTTGAATTTTGGTCAAACAATTGACCAAGACCAGACCTCTAAACATAGACCTATTCTTCTTCATCTTCATGTCCATCATGATGCTCCATCTCACCAATCTTCATTGCACCACATACCTTCTAATCTTCATTTTCGTGATGCATTATGCCATGACTAAGCCTTTTCATGTCCAAAGCAAAACTTGTGTCTTGGCATGCCATGTTACAAACCTGATACTGCATCACTACACCAGACCTGCAATATCAAGGCCAACCTACACAATCATAGGATATTTAAGCAATCAAAACAGCACCATGGCATGATTATGTTCAACCTTATACTACAAACCATGACTTCACATCAGCCTGCTACCAAAACCTACTGCAGACATGCATACATCATGTTCATCATAACCATTTGGCTATGCCAAAGTGTTCTTACCAGTTCCTGCATATAACCAAACAATATCATCAACACCATTGTCTAGTTGTGCACAACCCATCAAAATACATCCAATGTCTAACCTGCACCAAATCCTGCAAACCCGCAACATCAAAACAACACCATGGCATGAACACGCACGAACCAAATTCCATCCAAAACACGCCATGTTCATATAAACTAAGCATTCAAACTGAAGTAGTACATAAAAAAAGCTCAAACATATATAATCCATACATAGCCACACAATCATCATAAACATAAAACTAAATGTTATGCATCCATCATGCTACGATCCAATGCAAAATCAAAACCAAATAACATCATAAAATCATCCACACACACATTCATTCAAGAATAATAATAGCCATATCATGTCCACATGAGTCATGTTCAAACACATATGCAATGCATACATACACTGTCAACAAACCATACAATACACATCATCTATACCATTCAAACATACACATCTCAAATCATCACACATACATATTTCAATGCACCAATACATAATCATTCAACCATAAACTTAACTACATCTTGAAACTTCTAACGAAATTGAAACAAGTTGCTAACTACCTGCCCTAAGTAGTCACTAACCATAAACTAACCAAAACCTATTTGTCATAACATAATCACTTCCATTCAACCTAAATATAAACTTCCAGCTGATCGATCAAACTAACCTATAGACTTCAGTGTTACATATTGCCTTCAATCATAACCAACTAACTGCCCTAACTTCCATAACCACCTGCCCTAGGTAGTTACTAACTCACTCAAGTTAGTTACAAACTAATTGTCAAAAATTAACTAAACTAACTTCCTAACTGTCAAAGTCAGTTAACAACCTCGTAAACACTCCAACAAACCTACTGATTGTCTAACTTCCAGCTAACAAACTAAATGCCACGTGTCCCAACTTAATTACCTAAATGCCCCTAAACCTAATTTCCCTCTAAAACCTTCTAAATAATTTTGAGACCTAACTATCAAACTAACACACTCCCTATTCAATTTCTTCACAGAATTCAGTACAAAAGAATCACAATTCACTTAATTTTCTTCATTATAAAAACCAAATTCTAACCATCTATCATCAATCATTCTCCATCCTTGATAACTCCTAGCCACATATTACAATCTAGTGGCCTCCAATCATCAATTTCATAACATAAATTCCCTCCAATTTCATCTTTCTTCATGTATATAAACACTACTTCTCTCACTTCATAGGGAGTTCAATTCACCCGACAAAACTCTGCCAATTTCACTCCCCAAACCTCACTCATAGCGCTTCCTCCACCATTGAGAGAGCTTCAACATTTGAAGCTCTGAGCAATAAAGCTTGGTCTTGATCCATTCATCGATACCTACTGTCAAATTCTAAGCCTAATCCTCTATCTCTTTGCTCTCAACATTATCCTAATTCTAGCAACAACAACACAACAACCAGAAGTTCAAAGAAAAAATAAGAAGAACAAGAAAAGAAGAATATCAAAGTGTAAAAAGGTGGAAAAATAGCTTATCTGAAATTGCACGTTCCTCAGAGTTTCTATCAATGTCTTCTTTAACTCCTACCTCAGGACATCATGCATGTAAAGAGACCTACTTCTAAGAAGCAGCCCACGACTATGCCTAAAGCTTCTTTGGATAATATGTCCTTTCATGCTGCTGAAAATGTAGGAAGGTGGCAATACGTGTATCAAAGGAGGATTGCTTTGGAAAGGGAGTTAGGGAAGAATGCCCTACAATAAAAATATGTGATGAAGTTGATTGAAGTTGCTGGCTTGATGAAGTCTGTCACTAAATTTGGCCCTTGCTATGAGAAGCTTGTTAAGGAATTTGTGGTGAACATTCATGAAGGCTGTGATGATCCAAACAGTGAAGACTACAAGAAAGTGTATGTTAGAGGAAATGTTATGAAATTTTCCTCCACCGTGATCAACAAGTTTCTAGGAAGAACATAAGATCCTCAACCTGAGTTTGAAGATACTGATGATCAGGTGTGCCAGGAGATCACCTATAATACTGTGAAGCATTGGCCGAGCAAAGGAAAGCTTTCAGCTGGAAAGCTCTGTATGAAGTATGCAATTCTTAATAGAATTAGTACTATCAACTGGGTTCCTACCAACCACACTTCTATCATCTTTGCTGGGCTAGAAAAGTTCATATTCATTGTTGGTAAAGGAAGGAAGTTTGACTTTGGTGCTTATATCTTCGACCAAATTCTAAAGCAAGCTAACTGCTGGTAAACTGCCTAACTGTTTTCCTTCCCTCATTT